GCCGTGGACATGTGCAATGTGCGGGCCACGCCCTCGATCAGATCAATGTCGTTGATCTTGGCCACCTTATTGGTGGTCAGCTCGCCGCGCAGACTCAGCAGCATCACCTTCTTCTTGTTGGCAATGTCCCACTCCGGCTTGGACAGCACATAGGCCAGCTTGGTAAAGGCGGCCTCCTGAGTCATATCGTAGCCGGGAATTACGCCCACGTCGAGCAGACCCTGGCCTGTCTCATAAATGTTGGCCACCATGCCCGCCGAGCACTGGGTGGTGTTGACGATAATAACGCCTCTGTGGACCGCCTCCCTCAATTCGTCCAGCAAGTCCTCACGATTCACCGGAAAGTTACCGGCTCCAAAGGTCTGGAGGACCACACCTTTCGTTGGCTCCTTCAGTATTGCCTGTACCACAGTGACACTTATTCCCGGATAAATCCGCAGCAGAGCCACGTTCTTTTCGAGTTCCGAATGAAGCGAAAATGGCTTAATATTGCATGGACGGAAGATTTGGCGGCTGTTTATCTCGATGTTGACACTCGCCCGACCCAATGGTGCCAAATTGGGTGAGTCCAGTGCATGAAAGGAGTCCGAATTGAGCTTCGTGGAGCGACAGCCACGCAGAATCTTGTTGCCAAAGAAGACCAGCACCTCGGGTATATTGTAATTGCCTGCTATCAGAAGTGCGCCCAAGAAGTTCTCCCGACCATCGCTGCGCGCCTCAAAGATCGGAATCTGTGCCCCAGTAAGTATAACGGGTTTGTTCAGGCTCTCCAGCATGAATGCTAGTGCCGAGGCGGAGTACGCTAAGGTATCAGTTCCATGGAGGATTACGAAGCCGTCATAGGAATTGTATGTTTTCTGTGAAGAAAATGTAGTAGCATATTTTGGATCAAACTAATGATCCCCGTCCCATAAACTTACTCCCACTTCGTTGGCAATGCGCTTCCAGTCGCAGAAGCCCATGCAGCTGGAGTCCAACAGTGGGCAGAACTCAACCAAATCGTAAAGGACTCTATACGGAGCACCAGACACAGCGGGTAGCACCATCATGCCACAGTCATCATCCTTGCTGTTGTAATTCCTGTCGTGGCAGCTGGGAAACTCTTGAAGCTGCTCACCCAGCACCTTGGGCACGGTGTGCAGTACTAATGGCAAACAGGTTATAGGTACACAGCCTAGAGCCAACGATATACTCACCTCCGGACTCGTTGCGGATCATTCCGATGGTTCCACCCACGTAGATGACATGGACGCGAGCCTCCTTCTTCAAGCAACCGCACTTTGCCGCTGCCATTTTGGGCTATTTGTAAAATTTTGTGTGTTTCCCAAAACTAAACTAACGCGCAGTTCCAAAGGCTCAGAGTGACAGTAGGATCCATGAGCTCTGAGCTCTTTGTTTTGTTGCCTAATTCAAGGTATGTTTTGAAAATATTTAAAAATTTGCCGCCAAGCGTAATGAACCGTTGCTTAAGAAAATTGTGGTATGACCGTATTCCTAGGGAATTTTATCGAAACCTAGAGATGGACATTGCTCCAATAAGAAATAACGGTGCTTATAACACTGAAAATTCATTATTGTCATATCATCTGTTGCCGTTTATTTCTTTGTTGTTTACTTTTCGAACAATGAATTATTGCTCAAATGCCATTAAAAAAAAGTTTTTGAGATTAGAAATGCGAAATTAAATGCAGCAACTGTCAAACCACCTAAATGCAACTGGGACCCCCCGTAAACAGTGACCCGTCGTGAGAAGGAACAGTCACGACCAGTTCGCCCATCCCTAGTTTCCACAGTGCAGTGCAACAAATAATAAATAAATAAATAGCCTGGCACAAAGAGTTAATCGAATAAATTGCACCCCGCAGCGCACGCCAAGTGGTTTGGGTACCGGAATCGCGAATTATTTGCTCCGCTGCAGCCGCTGCCACTGCCTCCGCCGTATCAGTTGCTGATTGGAGCGCTGAGAGCACGGAAGCCACACAAATAGAGGCGCATTTAGAGCAATCCTTACCGTCCGCTGCTGCGGCAGCCCGCGGGTCATCGGATTGCCATGTCCCACTTTACGCACGCCTCCAGCAGCGACCTGGTCAACCTCAATGTGGGTGGTCAGCGGTAAGAACAAAGCACCATTACATTATGGCCCACCAACGGCATTGATGACGCATGCAATCTCCATCTCAATATCCGTAGCTTTTCCACGTCGCGGCAAACGCTTACGTGGATCCCGGACACCTTCTTCACGGCTCTTCTCAGCGGACGCATCTCGAGTCTAAGGGACGAGCACAATGCCATCTTCATTGACCGCGATCCGACGCTCTTCTCGATCATACTAAACTACTTAAGGACAAAGGACATCGACATTAAGAACTGTGAAATACGCGCCCTGCGCCACGAGGCCGAGTACTATGGCATCACGCCGCTGACCAAGCGCTTGGCACTCTGCGAAGACCTGAATCACTCATCCTGCGGTGATTTGCTCTTCTGCGGCTTTCTGGCGGCGCCGCCCATGCCGTCGAACGAAGCTGTGCCAGCTGCTAGCATCGACGAGTCGGTGCCCTCCACTTCGGCCAGTGCCGTTGGTAGTCGTCCCGGTTCTATGGTGCGCGTTCCCGAACCCTCACGCTCCTCACACTCTCGGAATTCATCATGGGATCTGCGCCTGGGTCGCACAGGCAGCACTGGCAATGGTTCCAATCCTCCAGCTCCCATGCTGCACTCACGCAATCCCTCGATGGACTTCATGCGGCACTCGCGCAACTCCTCGGCGGATCTGAACAAAGTCTTTCGAAACGAAGTGGGCATGGTGTTCAGTCCCACGCAGAACTCAAACTGGGTGGACCCGATGCGAGTGCAAATCATTAGGGCGCACCAGAATTGGATAGCAGTGGCATACGCGCACTTTGTGACCTGCTACCGGGTGAAAGACTTCTACGGGTGGCAGCAGGTATTCACATCGCCCCACATCGACGCCACCATAGAAAGAATCGCCATCAACTCGAAGATAAACACTGCAGCAGAGCCAGTGCCCAGTAAAATGGTGGCCATCTCTTATGGAAGCCAGATAAGGTTGTGGAGCATTCAGGAGGGCGGCCAGAAAACGGATGTGGGCACGTTTAATTTGAATGTGCGTGTGGAGTACCTGTTCTTCATCGGCAGTCAGCTGGTGGCCCTGTCCTCCTCCGGCAAGATCGGTGTGTGGCACGCAATGACCCAGCACTGGCAGATTCAAGACCTAGTGCCCGTGCTCTCGTTCGACTCGGCCGGCTCGTTTTTGCTGTTGGGCTGCAACAACGGCTCCATCTACTACATAGACATGCAAAAGTTTCCGCTACGGATAAAGGACAATGATTTACTGGTTACCGAGCTCTACAAAGATGTCGCACTGGACCCAATTACGGCTATCTCGGTCTACCTTACCCCAAAAACCTCGAGCATAAGTGGCAATTGGATAGAAATTGCCTATGGCACCAAGTCGGGGGCGGTGCGAATCATCGTCCAGCATCCGGAGACAGCTGGCCATGGACCACACCTTTTCGAGACTTTCTTTGTACACCAAAGCCCCGTAACCAAGGTGATGCTGTCAGAAAAATACCTCGTCTCCGTATGCAGTGAATACCACCACGTACGAACATGGCGTCTCATCCGCTTCCGGGGCATGCTCTCTACCCAGCCGGGCTCCACGCCGGAAGCCTCGTTTAAAATCGTGTCGTTGGAAGCTACCGATACCAGTTACAGCTATGCGGCTGGGAATGATTTTGGCCCTTATGGCGACTACGACGATATGATATTCGTGCAAAAGGTGGTGCCCGAAACTGATCAGCTGTACGTGCGCCTGGCCTCCAACGGGGATCGGGTGTGCGTCATTAGGTCCGTGGACAGCTCCACCATTTCTGCATTCTGTGTGCTGGAGTACGAGGTATCGTCCCGGTTTATACTCACCGGTCACTGCAACGGCGCCATTCAGATGTGGGACCTAACCACCGCATTGGCGCTGCTCTCCAAGGATGAGCCCCAGCAGAAAATCAATGGCGGACCCGACACCAATGAGCTTCTCCGCCTACTTGACCAGTGTGAAATCAGCAATTCATCATGCACAACACCTTGTATGTCACCGTGTCTATCAGCTATGGGCAACGGCTCTGGAATGGCCTCCTCCATAGCCCGCATGAAAGCCAGCAACATAGCCCTCCTAAATCGGGAACCAGCAATGGGAATGGCCGTCCAAGTTCAGCCGGCCGCTCAGGTGCAACCTGCTCTTCCAGAGGCTGTGGCGCCGGCTGCTATCCCGATGGCTGACGACAACAACGAATGAGACGTGGAAGCGGCTGCTTGATTGGCGCTTGTCGGGCGCGTTTCATCGTTTACATTTCACAGGTGTAGCATGATCTTCGACTACCAGTTTATATTCCTGCAGTTCGTGGTGTGCGCCCTCATCTACGTCTGGGTGACGCGACTCACCCGCGGTCCAGCCACTGGACTGTGATGAACTGCCAGCAGGCATTTACCCAATCAAATAATCTCCATTAAATGTGCTCGATGTGGTTGCAAGTTGCAATGTGTATCCCGTAAACCCATTTGTTGTGCTCCAAAATTGGATCGTACAGTTAATAAGTTTTAAAATGTCTTTCTTTGTTCTAGTTAAAGTTATGAAAATTACTTAAAACGATGTAAACCAGAGTATAAGACTTCTGCAACCGATCTATAATTAGCACAACTCCAAAAGGGTGCTCGATCAGGACAGATTCGAAATCGTTCAGTGTGGATAAGATTGGTTGCCTAAAACAAAGAAAGTTCATTAAACAGGCAATCAGTTCATGGTCAACCTTGATTATTATTATTTGTGATTTGAATCCATAGAGTGACTGCTTGGAATCTGTCCTGTTGTAGTGCCTCATATAAATATAATGATCCGCCTTGTTGCAACCAGTAAACAGCTATACATATTCAATATAAATAAAGATAATAATTATACACAAAGATATTTCAAAATAGCAACCGAGTTATGTCATCAATAATTTATTGAACATTTTATCTTAGTTTCTTGATGGTTGAATACTTGGAAGTGTTCCATTAACATTTATCAAATACAAATACTTGGCTTGCCTTCTCGTGGGTATTGTGTGTGTAAATACGTGTATATCCTACGCCTATACCGGACCTCAGTAAAGTAAAAAAGCAGCAAAAACGCCAAAACATATAAAAATATATATAATATACATTTGTGTATTGTAGGTAAATTACCCCCGCCCGCCATTTAAATATCATTGGCCTAAACACAACCCACTAACGACCGCCGGTGTGCTTATCAATTTAAACAAGTGGCGCGTCAAGTGAGACCCCTGCCTTTAATTTACCTAAAATAGGACGCACTGGTACTGAGATAGAATAATAATAATGGAGTAGATACTTGGAGCGATTACCCACCCTCGCCCGGAAGCAATTGTCGAGCCGTTCATACAAATAGTTTGTACACAAAGTCAACCTAAAGCTAAGTTATGTATATTCTAGAGGGCAAACCGATATGAAGCTGTCCCATTGTGGGGGACAGATATCTGGTGTCCCGATTTTCCCGTGAGTCAGTGACCCGATGCAGTGCAATCTAAGATTTTCGCTTGGCGGTCGCCGTTCCTAACTACGATGAAGCGTTAATGTGTGTGGTCTGTGCATTGAATGGATGATATGTGCGTGAAGAATTGCTTAGCAAAAACTGATGAGGGGAGATCCAGCTCACTGAACACGGGCTACACGTGAAAGTAGTCGTCCACTAGCAACTGTTCACTTGGCGTGAATGCTGCCCCACTCAGCGGACTGCTCGTCTGCGTGTCCGACTCCTGATCCGTCTGCAGCGGTTCATAGCCGGGCTCCATCCCACTGCTAGTGTTGGTCGTCGCTGTAGTAGACGCCGTGGTGAGATAGCACACCGACTCATAGTTGGGATCCGTTTCACTGCCCGTACCCGTCAGCGACTCATATTGCGAGGAAATCGGCGTGCTGGTGGCAATCGTTGAAGAGTTAAGCGACACGGAATTGGATGTGGAGCTGGGCGATGTGGGGGTCAAGCGACTGCTGCTACTGCCCGGCGTTCCTTCCACCGCGTTTTCCGCTATCCGCGCATAATGATCCGTCTCCGCAGCGGCCTTTGTCTCGAGGATGCTGGCATAGTTGTGGTTGGCATCCGCCCCGGGAATGGTGCTGTAGCCGGAGGCGTCAGCGCTGGCGGGTGGCCGCTTCTTATCCAACACCTTCGCATAGCCGTCGTCTGAGTGTGCACGACTTTTGAGCACCTCGTAGTTAGGATCATAGTCAGACTTTTTGGCCTCATCCTCGCCTGCGGTAACAGGATGCGGTTGCAGTTGCTCGTAGCCAGGATCGTTGTTGCTCCTGGACGGCGTCGGGGGCGGCTGTGTCTTGTTGAGAATAGTCTCGTAGTGCTTTGCGCTGGCGCTGATCGCTATTGCTGTTGCTATCGTCACGGGCTGGGCAATCGCTGAAAAGGCGCCGGATATAGCATTTTATTAGTCATGAGCCCAAACAAGAGTATTTACTCGTATTGAAGCCAAGAATTGATGGATTTACTGCAGACGATACTAACCACGGCTACTTCCAAAGAAAAACTCATGAAATTTGCGGTGTTTTAGTTTAACAAACACGGACATATTTCATTTTGGCATAGCAACTTAGTTTGGGAAGGCATTTTAAGGGAAAGACAAGGAGAGACAGATAGATAGACAGGCAGATTAGGCATTGGCAGGGATTAACGACAAAGCCAGGGAAAAATGTATAGACAAATCACAGGGATCAGCACATTTTACCCTGTAATCATCGGAAAGGAACTGGTAAAACGGGAGTTGAAAAAGCTGTCGACATACCTCCTCCTTCATGCTGTCTTTCCTTTTGTAACATGTTGGCTGCATAGCAATCCGACTTCCGATTCTCGTGCATCATCTGTCCGTCGGCTGGAATCGTTTCATACCCATGATCCTTGGCTGAATAGCTATTGCTTCGCACGCGACCCTTCTGGGCATCCACTAACAACGCCGCAGCACTGTCCAGCGGACTGACTCCCAAAGCATCTTGCTGCTGTTTCCGTGCCAGAATAGGGGAGCTGTTTTGAGAGGACGGCGAGTTTCTCGAGAATTTGTGCTTTTTCATGACCTACGGTTATAAAAGGTATGTTACATTTGCTATGTAATACTGACGGACATTCTACTTACCTTCGCGTACATGCCCTCAATGTTTTTGTTGCCCTCGCCATCCTTGGAGGGACTGAGGCTCTTGCTGTGCTTGCGCTGTGGCGACGCCTCTCCAGACTCCGCCTCGTGCCCTTCCGCGCCCGCTTCGATCACTGATATGACGGAATTCCGTCCAGAGGCTAGGTTGCTAATACTACCGGCCTGCAAATGATGCGACTGGCCTGCACTTGCCTTGGGCGTGGGTGGTAGTGGCGAATTCGCCTGGCGCTTCTCCGGTTTGGGTGACCCCAAATTGCAGACAGACGAGCTATTGTTCGACGAGGATGAGGCCTGACGCGAGTGCATCTGGGCTCGCAAACTGTCCACCGGCGGTGGAACTGGCATAGCATGATCAGCACCACTGCTGCTGGTGGGTCGTACCGCGGACGTACTAGCGGTCGGAAGACTGCTGCTGTTATTGATCTCGACAGCCACCACTATGGGATTGGCCTGCATAGGCTGGATTTGCGCGTAGGTCTCCGATCCGCTTGTGTATATATCCGCGGCGTTGGCCTGATGACGATTATTGGGATCCTCAATGGCCGCATAAGTCTCATCTTAAATAAACAATTTAAATTACTAAATGCGTTAATGTTAAATCAATTTTTAGTATTCGAACAGTGTTATACCCTATATTCTATCTTGACTTTCTTATAATACTTATATTTTGTCTATAATAGAACTCAAGAAAATGTGTTATTTTTCATGTGACTTACCCGAATCGTCAGAAACAGTGGCGTAGTGAGAGTCATTAACATCCCGCGATAATGTTGGGTTCCTGTTCGGGGGTTTCCCTGGTGGCTGTTGGGCCAAAATGTTCGCTAGCGGCTCCCTCACACTAATGCTTGTGTATCCCTCTGCGAAAAAAAAAAAAAAAAAACATTTAGCGATATGACATCACCGCCATTTCCACAGACTTACTCGATGAGTCTTGTGAGTCCCCACTAAAATGTTGGTTGGCGATGGGGGGCGTCATGTAGGGAAGATCTTGGCTAGCAGAAATCATACCTGCAATCGCAGAGGCAGCTGGAATCTCAGCCTCTGACGGCGCTGAGTCATTGTGCTCCCTGGACCCATCGCTGTGCTGTGAGTTGCGATGCATTGGATCTATACCGTCGCTAGAGGATCCGGCCACCACTGCCGCCGCCGCAGCTGCTGCTGTGGAGCTGTGGTTGGTCGCATGGGACGTGGATGGGGCATTCAGCTGGGCGTAGGGATGCTCGGTGCCCCGCACCTTGGCGTAATCGTGCGGCAGACCCTTCACCCGCGAGTACGGCGAACTTACATCGTCTGCCTGGCTAATGGAGCTGTGCTGCGACACGCTGGTCTGTTTCTTCATGCTTGGCTGTGCTGTGGGTGTTATTAGACACGGAATTATTTACGAGGTGATTCCTTGGGTTCGAAGTACGACTTACGACTTTGGCTACGGGCATTGCGACCATCTAACAGTTGCTTGTCCGCCACGGTTTCGTATAGTTCGGACCCATTATCATTGCTCTCGGCCACGGGAATGTCAGGCAAACTGCGATGGGCAGCAGTGCTCGATCTAAAAATGGTTATGGATGCGTTATTTCCAGCTCTGTTATGTAGACAGCAAGGTAATGAAGACTTACCGCTTCTCCGAGTCCGCATTGGACACAGTGGAGGCATTCAGCTCCGCCTGGGACTCGCTGTTGCCCACCAGGTTGGTCACCACAATGACCTCATCCGGATTCTTCAGCTTGACCATGCCCTCCAGGCCCATCAAGTCATTTCTGGGGAGATAGAGTGCATAGAGAGTGTAGTGAGCGACAAGAGTGCACCCAACTGGAACTGGGCGGCGTAGCGGCGGAGAAAGAAACCCACTTTCACTCTCTCGCTGGCCTGCACCGCCCAGTCCTCGTCTGAGCAATCGAACCGCTATGGATTCCTGATCCTCTGGGATATCGGTAGGACTTACTTGGGGATCCGCTTCTTGCAGCATAAACAAGCGCCCAGCATCACGATGAAAGTGAGCGTCAGGCTGACGGTCGCCAGGAGGTACGTGTACGAGTTGGGGGCCTCCAGGCGCAGCTCCGACGTTGACGCCTCCACCATGCCCATGTCGCGTTGTGTACATATGCACTATGTACCCATAAAGCACTTGCACCGACCGCTGCACATATATATTTTAACAACTTTTCGCTTAGCTAATATTTTCTTGTTTTTTGGTCCACCAAACGAAACAGACAACAACAATAATGCGACTAGCGTGCGGTCATACTAGGTGCGGTCCTACTGGGTGGAGGGAAATGCACGTTTTACGCCAGCTTCTATATGGTCATACTGAAACTATCGTTTTTTTTCAAAGGTTTCTTCTTAACCCTCTAATAATTTTTAAATTAAACTGTTTACTGTACTTTAAAAATATTTCAAATTTGAATTGTAAAGTTTCTTCAACGTTGAATATCTTTAAAGAAAAAGTAAATTGTAAATAATTCAAAATTAAACTTGAGATTTTATTTATGTTCAAATGATATTTGGTATCAAAATTATATCTAAGCTGAATAGCAGCCAGAAGGTATTTGTGCCTTACACAAACAGTTGCTCTTAAATCTAATTTATTCGCTTGGCACTTTCGGTGATTGCTCAAACTTTTAAAGTTCGGTGTGCTTGAAGATTGTTTTTTCAATGTTCTCCTGGAGTTTCTCCACTTTGCGAGTTTGCTTCTTCAGCTGATTCTCCATTTCATCGAAGCGGCTGCTTTTGTCGTTGAGTTTTTCTCCCTATAAATACATAAATACATTTAGTTGGCTTATTAACTTGAATGATACCAATAAACATTTACCTTGTATTTCTCCTTTTGCAAAGCATGCTCAGCATGCAGGTGACGCAGCTTCAAGAGACGACTTTCGAAATGATGCAATTCAGTTTTAATGGACTCCAGTTCCTTGACAGTAAAATTGCTAGCCTGGGCCACTCGCCACAGACCCTGGACCTTGGGTTCAATGAAGTCCTGACTGTGTGGACCGGAGGACACCAGACGTTCCAGCCTATCGTAGTGATCCTTGATGCCCGTATGATGACCTCGAAGGGTGTTAAGGTCGTTTTCAAAACTCTTCACGTTTTCCGCATGGGTTTTAATGTCGTTTTCATTGACATCATTTGAAATCAGATTGTAGGTGTCCAAATCTTCTGTGTTAATAGCATCTAAGGGTAATCAATTAAAGTACGATATGGTTTTTGCGTTTTATATAACCAAACTCACTCTCATGCTTGTCGGTATCAACGGTACCAATATTTTCCAGCAAGCTGTAGTACACATCCACCTTATCCTGGTGATGATCAAACTCCTGTTTCAAGGATTTCAATTCCTCTGCGGTAAAGCCGGAAATCTCGGCCTTTTCCCACAGCCGGTTCAGTTTTTTGTCCTTGAAAAGACTCTTGTTTCTGTGTTTATCCTCTGCGTCGTGAAATTTCTGTAAGTGACTTTAGATGTGGGGAAACTGTTGCTCTTAGGAAATACGTTTTAGATACCTTGTAGGGCTTAAGCTTTTCCGTATCCTGGGTGTCGTCAAAATGTTCCAGCAGATCGTAGCTGCTCATGATACCAATGAGCTTGCGGCGCAATTCGTCGGCCTTCAGGCCATCCTTGTCCTTGTGCTGTGAGTTGAGCTGCTTCCAGGCAATCTCCTCCTTGTCGTGAATCTTTAGCTCCATGTACAGTGACTTGAGCTTGGGCTCTGTTAGTCGCTGTAACCGGCATTAGTACGCTAAAACTTCAGATACCTAAAGATGCCCACTCACATTCTGCGCCTTGGCCCACACGAGATTCAATTTGGCCATGCGAAATGGTCGCTGGATGCTCTTAAAGTCCGGATCATACGTTTCCTGTTTTACTTGCTGAAAATGCGGGTCGTTGGCCTCCTTGCTGTACTTCTTGCTTTGCTTTTTGTCGGCATCCACGCCCTGCACCGCAATCAGCAAAGAAAGTGCGATGGCTGCAACAACGAGAGCTGACTTAACCATTTTCCTCGTGGTTTTTATCCGGGTTCAAAGCACACAATTTTTGGTGCAGTGCTGACCTGGCCAAACAGTTATTCACAACAAGCAGTGTGGCCATCTACCGATCGCATAAAGCTGTTGGTGCAGAGAATCTAGCTAATATTTTGCTTGTAATAGTATGTTTATCGCATGTGGGATTTTCGAACTTGGTCAATCATAAACAATTAATTTCATTTGGTTTCATAAGCAATGCATATAAAAATAAAAATAGTAGTTGAAGCAAACTTAAATAAATGTATTAGGTTTACATAATGAATATAGTGTTTCTTCCAAAAAGCCAGATTTTTCTGCTATGATGTGGCAGTTGTTGATGATTGCACTTGGTCACACAATCAATTTCCATCTACCGCGTTAACAGCTACTTGTGACGCGTTGAATTATAATTATCAAGTATTTTTACCTAAAGCCGCTCTATAAAGAAACCAGGACAATGAGAACGGAGGCAGCGGTCAGTTGTTTTCTGTTGGCTCTGCACAGCGTGTGCTGCCAGAGCGGCAGCGAGGAGTCCTGGATGGATCCGTATCCCGCCTGGTCGAACTTGGCTAACGATTTCCATCAGCCCGGTGGATCGTGCCAGTGTCCAGCGAGACCAGAGCTGTCTCCAGCGGCCATGGAGGATGCCGTGGCCCTCACATACTTCAAGAAGTTCGTCAATCAGCTGTTCCAGCGCAAGCATTTGCGGGTATGCGCTGTTTAGACCATATTTGGCAACATGATGTCATACGTCTGTAACTTTTGTGTAATTAGTATGATGCTCAGTCGGCGGTCCATAAGCGAGCGTTGATCTTCTCTATGCTGCCATCGCAACTGGATGAATTGGAGAAGGTGCAGGATGCTCGAGATATGGACATACTGCTGACAAAGATATTGGAGAGTGCCGAGGAGGGTCCTTTGTTTAATAAAAGGTTCGGATATTCATACGTCCCATCCGGTTTTTTCTCCTTATCGATGGATATTTTCAAGGATGTAATTGAACTGACGAAAACAACCGAGGTACCCGTTCCGCCTTTTATGGAAGCTTGGCTTTAAGCTATTTAATTATTTTTCTAATTTCTAGGTGCAATTTATCCTATATGCAACATTGGCAATTGTACTTATTGTCATTGTGCACAAACGTTTCCGTATCAAAGTAATTTCGATTGTTATATGTGGTATTTTTCTGTTCGGATATATTCAGACTTATTTGGAATGCAACAGAGTATGTATTGCCTAAAAATTTGTGAAATTGATCTTATTATATGTTTATAATTAGGAATTAGACATCGATAGGATGATAGAAATCGCAAAGCATCACTTGGAGTCAGAAAAATCCTGGTTTTCTCGAGTTGGATCCTACATTTTCCAAGCCACGCCAAACAATAAGAAAATAGAGATGCTGAAGTAAGTACATGACATGTAACTTGGAAACTCTATTAATGATCGTTTCATTTTAGACAATCCTCAAAAAGGCACACTTCTATTTGCATGCCAGATGAAGTGCTCTTGTTGTATATGAACAACCTATTCATCAAGCAGTTAGAAATTGCGATAGAAAAGGTGTCGGAAATTATGACCAAACTGTCCTGTAAGTATTTATGCTTTAGTAGTTCTGGAATAATTCTTATTTACTGGAAAAGCTCTAGAATTCCTACAGTCAATTATTGCCACTTCAATAACCATATTTACCCATAGCCGGATTATCCTTCCCTTATAACCTCCTTGCACCAGTCCTTTTGGTGTGTTTAGTTGGGTACATTATAAAGCTGTCCTTTAAATACATCTTGAGCCCCCGAGCATGGGCGACCCTTCTTCACAAGCCAGCGCCACTGGGGACACCAACGATCCACCAGTCGATAAATGCGCAGGAGCCCATAGAGGACCGCATATCGGGCGACAACTTAAAGATGCTGCTAAATGTAATTGGCGTGAGAAGCGATTCACGTGAGTCACTACTTCGACTACCCATCGTTTCGGGGGTCCAAGAGCTAGATGAAGCGCATGAATCTCCTTCCACGGGAAAAGAAAATTTAGATGTAAGCGATTCCAGCAAGAAAAGCGAAAGCAGTGTTGCTGAAGAGGAAGGATTCACACTGGTCGACGATCACGAGGATAATAACATCGATAATGTGTAGCGGCCGCCAATAAACCTAATCTGTAGTTTAAGTGTAATGTCCGTGATTTTTCCCAGTTATTGGAGAAAATAATTACATTTTTTCTCTTTTTTGATTTGTTATAATTAAATTTTTATTTAAATTATTTTGCATGTACTTCATCTCATTTGCGCGATTAGTGTTATTAAGATAAATCTTCAACAATAAGATCTTTTAAGTTGGCCACAAAACTTTTTATATTTTGCTTGTTATTATTATGATGCCGTCCCTTCAAAAAATCTGATATAATTTTTATTTGTAACTTGTTGATCATTTATATTTACAACTTGGCGATCAGGCGGTTATTAATAAATATTATTAGCAATGGGCGCTCTTTTGTGAGTTGCATATTAATTGAATGTAAGCGATAATTAAATATTCGGTTTTCGAATCTTGTAAAATCTAATTTAAGATGTATACAACTAATATATTTATATATCTATGTATATAGATCTATACGGTGTGTATATATATGTAAGTAAAAATTAGAAAAGAATTTCGGTGTAAATATATTTATTCGTTGTATTTTAAATCATGCACCTAAAATGTATTATGCTTTAATTACAATTCATTTTTATTATAATTTGTATGCAACTAAGTAACGTTACGCATTAGTGAAATGTAATGTATGGAATATTGTATCCAATATAGGGCACATACTGAATAGCCAAAACCGAGTTTGCTGTTTATAATTAAACGTACCTAAAACTAGAAAAACACGAAGCAGAACCCAAAGCACAGGCAGACTAACTATAATACTCAACTAAGGCTGGCAAATGGCATATCGTCGTAATCGTCCAGGTCTATGGCAAACCGAGATAATTTATCTAAATTGATTTCACAAATCTTATACGCAAATTGGTCCGCTATCATAATCTTGATTAATAATTTCTCTACTCGAATTCAACAATTGTTTTTGTTTTGTTTGGTTTTGTTAAGATCTAGTGGGCAATTTCCCCCTTCTGATTTGTGTTGGCGGCTGTTCTACTTATTTGTCCGGCACTGCTGGACGGCGGACCAGCAGCCAAAGTTACCAGTTTGATGAGCAACATCATAATTAATGTAATTACATGCCCCTCTAGTGGCTAATTGGTATAGCAGCATATAAACTTTAAAGCATATCATTCACTTAGTCCGATTGGTAAAATTTAAAAAACTAATCCTCTTAATATCAAACAACAGCAAACTATGCGAAACAATTTGTTCAACTCCTACGCCTACGCCTTCGCACAAGCCAACCAACTATTTAAATAACGATTACCACAATTGGGAACGGTTTGTGTTAAAGTTATACGTACGATACATCCCATACATACATATATGTAGGTAGGTTGTTAGTAAGTGTTTTAAAAACAGGCAACTTATATCCCATCTACGCTACTGCAAAAATGCACCAAATGCTCTTCAAATATCCTTCGATGTACGCGTTACTTGGCTCACTTGATGGATGCGAATGCAATTGTACTTAAACGTGATTCTGACTTAGGCTAACTCTCTGACTGAGCCGATTGGATTGGCTGCGACCAAAAATGTTCAAGCTGCTCAATAAAGTTCAGCAAATAATTGTAAAATTGTACATACACATTTAATATAATACAAAAAACACAATGCCATAGCGAATTTCTTCATGTTTTACGGACTGTGGGCTGTCGGAGTTGTTGGCCATGAGTATTTTATACATCAGCTTATGTGGCGATCGGGGCGAATCGTCCTAATCTGTATTATTCTGGTTAGGTGGTAAATAGTTAAACAGCAATGATAGTCAGGGGAGGCATCGGCCATTTTTCGGCCACTTCCGGCCTTTACCGATCACTTCCGGTTCCGCTTCCGGATGCCTCACGATGGTCTCTGTGGCGATCACGGAGAAGTCTTACGTTGATGGATCCATGTAAATATTGTTATCATATCGTTGTAGATACAGATTCTATGTCTTTAAGTAGGTACTTTGGCTTTCGTTAGAGATATAGTGTATAGCTTCGTTCGATTTCGATATCTGGTTGGTTGGTTATGGGAATGGCTGGTGGATCATGCAGTATGTATGTATGTAAACATTTGATATGTATGCCGTTACGTTTCAGATGCGATTATGTGCAAACTTAGGTTTATCTTCCGTGGTGTGTTTAGTTAAGTTAAGTATATGTATATATGTACGTGGTATCGTATCTGGTATCGTGTCCTCTGTGCGACTAGAAAGATCTGATCTGCTCGAAAAGAACCTATGTATGCGAAATGTACTCGTAATCGTAATTGCAATCGTGGTGCGACTTATACAGTCAGTTCCTAAATACAAGTGTCTCGTCATGGATGTAACTCTATATGCGGGTAAGTGGCTCTTCTGGGGATTGTGTTTGTTTCCGTGGTGTGGTGTGGTGTGTGTGGTGCGTGGCCCGTGTGGGTGGTTGGGTGACTGAGTGGCTACCTAAGCCAGCAAACCCCCCACCCAAAGGGTGCTGCCCCAAGGCGAGTATTTGTCTGTCACCGTCGTCTCCGTTCACTTCAGCTCGACGCCATGTGACCCGGGTCACATGCCCATGCCATCTGGTCAGTTGGCCAGTTGGCTATTTGGCCATCCGATGCTTACATAACGCGACACTTCTCCTTGACCCCGCCGCTGGCACTGGCCCCCGCATCGCCGTTCTCCGGTATCGAGCCGTTCGTATCCTTGGACTTCTTCTCCTTTTTCTGCTTCTTCTGCTTCTTGGTGTCCAGTTGCAGGGAGACGGTGCGCGTCTTCTCCATGTTGAGCAGTTCCTGGAACAGCTCGGTCACATTGTGGTTCGTCTTGGCCGACGTCTCCATGAAGGATATGCTCCAGGTGGTCGCCTGAGCCTGACCCTCCGCTTGGGAGACCTGTGGGTAGAACGATTGGATTAGGGGTTTTCCTCATGATTTTTCTGTTTATAATCCCCCTTAAAGATTGTAACTTAGATCTTAGTTAAAGCATGTACATATGTATATTAGGGATCAATCCATCCAGATCTATTAAACCGTTATACATATGTATGCTCATTCCCAGAATTGCTAATACACATAATGGTGCAGTGCCTCTAACCTCTCGCAACTCGGCGGTCTCATCACACTTGTTGCCCACCAACATGACGGGTATGTTGGGGATGTCGGCTCCCTGTGGGCACAGAAAGTATTAGTGCATTCGGAATGAGGGCCAGGCATTGGACCTACCTTCAGCTCCTTGATAAGCGCCCAGATGGGTCGCAGCTCCTCCAAACTCTGCTTGGAGCACACCGAGTAGACCAGAATGAAGGCGTGACCCTTCGAGATGGACAGCCTCTGCATGGCCGGGAACTGATGCGATCCCGTGGTGTCCGTGATTTGCAGCGTGCAGATGTTCTTGTTGCAGCTTATGACCTGTGCGATGAGGAGCGGATTAGGAGAGTCTTCCCGTGCACTTGACGGAGTACTCACCTGTCTGTACGTGTCCTCGATGGTTGGGATGTAGCTCTCGCGGAAGGTGCCCTTTATGAAGCGCAGCACCAGTGAGCTCTTGCCCACGCCGCCGGCTCCAAATACCACCACCCGGTAGTCATTGCTCTGCTCCGGAGCAGCGCGCGTCACCTGGTTCTTCTGCTCCGTCATCCCGGATACGGATTACGGATTCGAATCGGTCGAACGCGGTCGCGTATATCAAACTCGGAGTGGAAATCGGAACGGAATAGAGAGAAGCAGGAGCTGAAGCTTGTTGGCTTGCTGTCGGGCGCTGGTGGAATGTTCTACTTGGGCGCCATGCTTTCGTTTATCTGCAACGATTAAGAGCAAATCAGCTTGGCCACAACGCCCACGCACGCACAACCTTTCCGGTTCGGCTGTGGGTGGTAGGTGGTAGGTGGTGGGCGTGGGCGTGGGCGTGGGTGGCACTACTTTAGGGTCCCGCAACAAAAACAAAAAGGGGAAGAAGGTTAACTGCCGAAAGCCGCAGTTAATATACACTAGTTGGTTTGTTAACACGCTTCATGGGTGGACTTGTTCTTTGAATATATATTCCATTACATTTAAATGGTCTTATTTTCAGTTTATGGTGTCGAACCTTTTTATTTTATAGCCCCGACATACATATGTAATTCCTTTGGTGTCCTACAAACTGCCACTTGAAAATGATAGTGGCCCTTGCAAGGGTATTCATTAACGGCAAACAATGTGTGAGAGTATCCCGCTAATTTTAGCCATGTGCCAAGGAAGGGTATTGATTTTTCGCTCCACTGGCAGATCGGCATCAGCCTCATCTCAACATTATCGCCACAGATATGATTGGCCATGGCCGGGTACGGTATAAATAGGCCTGCTTTGAAGGCAAGTATCCCATTCGGAACGGGCTTCCTGCAACCCCCCCTCCCCCCACACACACATTCATACACTCACACACTCACACACACACACACACAAGCCGTAACTGCTCACTTCCGCTTGATTGTCCTGGTGGACCCGTGTGACACCTTTGGCACGCCCCCTTCGAACGACCCGCCCTGCGATTTTCCGACGTTTTGTTTTCCCGCACACTTGCTATTTTGTTTTTTGCTCTTCCACCTCGTACACCTCACGCGCCTTGCTCTCGGATTTTCCTCGCTTTATTTTGGCTTGGATTTATCGATTTTATCTGCACTGCACTTGCCACCCACACGCGAGAATCGACGGAAAAGCAAAGGCTGGCCACCGCATCCGTATATCCGTTGAATGGGATGGCCCTCAAAGGATCTATGGGAGTCCCTGTATTGCGTCGCAGTATTTACTTGCATTTCGTTGCACTGGAATTCGTTGCAGGACAGGATGTGGTGCCCGATGTGGCACTAGCTCTTTGCTGCAGGCCGTCCTATCCTATCCTCTGCTACCGATAAGAGACTCAGAAACCCGACCGAACACCCAACGCCCCCATACATAGTACGCAAGTACGACGCCTGCGCATGCCCCAGCACATGTGGGGCCAGCACCAAAGCTTTGCAGCTTTGGATCCATCCACCCAAAAACGAATCCAAAGTGGAGAACGCAACCAATTCTACGCGCGAGGAATGAAAGCTTCTGCACACGTCTCTACTCAATTTGGAGCCGGCCGGCGTGTGCAAAAGAGGTGTATCCGAAGACCCGTGTGTAAAGCCGCGTTTCCAAAGTGTATAAAACCGGGAGCATCTGGCCAATGTGCATCAGTTGTGGTCAGCAGCAAAATCAAGTGAATCATCTCAGTGCTCTTAAAGGCCTAAATAGCCCATCTCTACCTTTTGTGAAGTGAACAAGTTCGCCGAAAACCAACTACATCAAGATGCCTTGCCCATGCGGAAGCGGTAAGTTCTGAGTCTAGTGTGATCCTCTAGCATATTACTGATCTTTCACGGAGCTATCGAGCTCAAACTTTCTGCAAAGTGAAATCTTTGAGTTCGTTGCACTAAGAAGGAAGTTCTTAATTTTAAGTTTTTTAATGGCTATTTAAACATCCTGCATATACTAATCGATGACCCTCTTTCCGTTCAGGTTGCAAATGCGCCAGCCAGACCACCAAGGGATCCTGCAACTGCGGATCTGACTGCAAGTGCGGCGGCGACAAGAAATCCGCCTGCGGCTGCTCCAACTAAGCTCTCCCTTATGGATCATCTGGAGAGGATGACGCCGCCTTTTGTCTTTGAACTGATTTCTGAATAATTTCCGATAAAAAGCCCAATGTTTTTTCATCTACTTCCCCTCCAATTTATGTCAAATTAAAGTAATTGAAACCTAACTGCGTATTTTCGGATTGCATAATCAGTTTGTAGGTTAGATTCTCTTTTATTGGCGGTAGCTACGTGGTCGGCAATATGCGTCGTGAAAATTGGATGGTCAAGTGTTTTCCACAATGGGCATATATGTATGTACATATCATTAAATTTAGTTGAGCAATATGGTAATCTGAGATGCCTCACTTCTGAAGTGAGTGGGGATTGAGTATCAAAGCACAGCGGTTTGAACTTATGACTTGTAGATACGAATACAGTCGCGGGCGTGAGAATAGAACCACTATCGGTTTGACGATATTGAAGAATGTTTGCTTGAGAATTTAAAAAACCAACTTTTCCTATCAAATTAAAAACGATATTAGGCATAACATATACTTGGAAGCAGTGAAAAGGCGAATAATATTTCATATTCATGACGGATTCCATTATTTTATAGCCTCTGCATACGTGATTCATAAAAATATATGATTGTTGACTTATGTATTACTGCTCAGTCTGCTTTGCGAAATAGTCCATTTATAGCGCAAAAGTGCCCAAGTAAACATATATATAGTTTTAGATGTAATTTGAGCGCGCAATTAGCGTGGAAGTGCAAGAACCCGACTTTTAAACATAATGTCACCGAAGTAAGTCAAGAACCAGAGCCCCACGGCAGTCGGTCGAAGTGACCTAGGCGTAGGGTTACGGGAGACCTCCACCTCAGACCTCCAGTGGAAGAGCACCCAGTTCGAGTTTATGGTTCGTACATATGTATGTATTTATTTACTCTTATGTCTAATACTAGGCTAGGTGGACTTTAATTAATGGAGGATTACGGGGTATCGAATGGGGTGCGCCGTATAGGTACATATATACGACAGGTATGGGTGTGGGCATGTCTTCTTTTTGGTTATCAGCGTGGCCAAACAGATAAGGGCGAGATATCACGGCGGTTTCCAAATGGTTCTGTCGAAGGTGCTCGACGCACGTTGAGAATAGTGGGAAATTCACGGTGCGACCTACTTGATAACGATGTTTTGGGCCAGTCGCTTCACAAAGTCCACGTTTAGAAAGTTTGCCATCAGTGTGAGCACGGACTTCTTGGGCGGCCGGCAGTGCCGCAGTCCCGCCTCCTGGCAGCACACGTTCGGAAAGCAGTCCAATGTGGAGGTGCACGCCTTCGGATGGAGGTCGAAAATGGGCGGCGGCGGTGCCGTGCACTCCAGATACTCCGTAACTGGAACAGAGTGCGACTTAGATTGCTTTCTGTTACCATTTCATAAGGAAAAGTTGTAACTTACGGTAATCGAAGGATCGCTTTACTGGCACTGGAGCTGTTTCCAACTCCGGCTGCGAGGTGCGGCAGTACCTCCTCCGCCCATCCGGACAACAGACCCGCGGCCAGCAGTCCATGTCCGTGGAGCACTCCTGCACATCCCACCAGAGCTCGGCCAGCGGTCTGCTGGGACACTTGCGAGGAATCAAACCCAGGATGGCTGGCAAAAGTAATATATTTAATAACGATATAGTAGTTGACGATTAAATCTACTTACGAGCATGTGGAGTCTCCTCCAGAGGCTTTGGAACCCCAGAGACACAGCTGCTTGCTCCAAAGATATCACAGCACAGCTCATCCCTCTGCCACACGGCACAGTCCCGATCCGCCTTGCAGATCTTGGGGAATAGCTGGAACCTCACCTCGTTCTCCCGCGGACAATCGAACCGCAAACGAAGCTCGGCAGCCGATCTCTTGCCCTTCTCCTTTTCCGTTTCCTTATCCTTGTTGTCGCGTGGAAAGTTCAAGGTGGGCAGAGCAATGCGGAAGGGTCCATCTGTAGTGGGTTTCTGGGTGGTGGATGTTGTACTTCGACTTGCTGCAGTGGTTCTCTGCTCCATCGGTTTCCTAGTGGTCTTGTTCGGCTTTCGTTGGACGGACTTCTCCTCCTTGGAACTAAACTTTTTCGGAGGATGGGCTTGCTTGGTGGGCGGACGCACTGCCACCAGACTCTGCTGGCCGAAACTCCAGAAGTTCCGATTAAAGAAGTTGAAGCCGTTGGCCAGGCTGGGACGCGGAGCTGGGGGTTGGATGTGGAAAGCGGGTTACCAGTGTGCTTAATGGCCATTAGTGTTTCTGCTCCAAATAGCAGACATTACACGTCAAGTAAAGCGCAGTTCCCGCCGCTCATAAACAGCGTTTGATTTGGCTTTTTTTTTTTACTTCTGTTTCATTATTCAGCCAGGCCAACAATGGATCAACAATTGCTGGTGGAACGCAGCCTGTTGGCCAACGCTTCCCACCCACTCCATAGGCATAGACCCATTCCCAACGCAATTATGTACTCGGCTGGTTGCAACAGCAAGTGGACGCAAGTGAATCACCCGCGAAAACCGCCATGCTCACCAGATCATTACCCCCGAATTAACGTTTACTTCTCGAGAGCAAAAAGATGGCACGCACTTTAAATTTCCAGCTCATAAAAGTAGCTAATGGAGAAGCACCTTTGATTTAATTAGACCTTGCCCGCCGAAACAGGCGGGAATTCTATAGTCGAGTGATCATGATCATGCAAATTACCAAAAGCCTAGGCCCCAATAAATCGTGGCCTTGAGTCCGTCTCTCCAGTTCGGACTTAGCCAAGGTCTCCTGGTGCAGCCGAAGCCGATTTGAAAGCTCCGGTGCTCCAGTTATCAACGCTCTACACCTAACCCATGCACCTATGGTTAACTACATTGACGAATCCCAAACGGGTATATCTGGTTTAATCCCAATTTGAATACCCCATTGCGGTCAGAATAATGAGACTGCGAATCCAAGGCAAAACTATTTATCTGAAATTTTGCAATTAATCTTTGGTTTATTTTTGATCCAAGTGGCTGAACGGCTTATTGATCTTAACTGTGATAGAACATCTCGCAAACTGCTTAGCACGGATGGTAGAAACTTTATTTAGAAACTTGCTCACATTCACTAAATGTATATACGTAGCAAAGGGTATTCCATCTATCGGTGGACTCTAGGCGACCTTTTCCCCAGACAACTTCTTTGTCACTTTTGTGGCTGTGTTCGCATTACCACTTTCAATCTTTATGGTCGAAACAGAAAAGCTAGGTCAGTGCCAGCATCTTCGACCAGTTTGCATGGCTTTTCGAAAAAGTTGCAGCGATCTAAGATCAACGCTATATACCCAATATAACTATAGCTTTTCTAATTTATTATTGGACCACTGTAGTTTACTGGACACTCACTTGTTGTCGTCGTTGTTGTAGTTGTCGATGTGGTTGTCGTTGTGGTTGAGGTGGATGAAGTTGTGGAGGTTGTTGTAGAGGAGGGCCTGCGCCGCCGCACGACCTGAGTGCGCCTCCGCTGATTGGATGCTCCCTGCTGCTGCCGCCTAGCCTGATCCGCGCCTGAAACCGCCACAGATTCGTGGTCTGGCAATGGTGCAGGGAGCGGGAGCTTGTATTGTGCAACTCCGCGGCTTGTGGATGCCTTGGCGGCCGTTGCACAACCGATTGCCAGGTAGAGCGCTCCACCAGCGGCCAGGAGCTGCAGCCAGACCAATCTCATTGCGACTGAGGATCACTTAGGTGCTCACTGAGCCACTGACCTTTCCGTTCAAATCACTGCAGTCTGTGTCACACACTCACTCGCTACCAATCACTCATCTTAGCTTGGAATGCAGGTGATACTGGGTTGGGCAAGCGCGACTACGTTGTTTAGACACCAAGCGACCGCTTCAGACTCCCAAGCCCAATTGGCGAATGTGCAAAATTGCTACCTCGAATTTCGGCAGCGGAGCCAGCAGATAAAACAGAAACAGCTAAGAGAGCTTAAGCGGGGGCTGACCCGCTCTTTAGCGGCCCAAACTGGTTTTTACTCTGGCCCGGCTCTCGGAATAATGGGCTACCATTGCAGTGGGTCTCGGTGTGGATACGACTAACCCACTGTCGTAGAAATGAGGAAATGGAGATTGCCAGGAGATTGCTTCCGGCTTTCGAAAAGGACACCATCAATTAAGGAGGTGAATAAACGATCATGACTGACACATTTGCGTGGGAATCATGCAGGCTTACACACAGATCATGCACTTTGATTTATTGTGCACTATCGTTTCGCTGTCGACAAGCAGATTGAAAGTTTGATAGAGCTCGATTCACTCGAAGAAAATATTTATCCAAGTCCTTTCCGCTTGAATATGAAGTAAACAAAAAAATAAAAAATATTACTTTCAATTAATCATTTTAGTTTATAAAAAAAAAAAAAAAAAAAATGCATGAGTAACAATTTATAATCTAATTCTGTTTTTCGTACATATGCTTACAATCCTCTTTTGAATTCGAATATGAGTGGTAACCATGTGCTATTTATGATTTTAAGAACTGATGTCTTAAGAACTTTGTCTTCAGATTGCATATAAAATGAGGCGAGTGGCCTGCCAGATTTGAATACCACATTAAAGACCGATTTGCATCAAAAGCCTTTATGCAACTGGCGAAACCAACAATGGAGTTTTGAATGCTAAGAGAGTTGAAGTTTGGGGATGGGATGACCCGGTATCCATCGTTGCAAACCGGTTGCTTTTGTTTTGGTAGCGGCCTAATATGTTATTAGGTGACACAGACCGACTGACTGAGCGCATTGCAGTTCAAAAACAAGGAAATGCACACTTTTCCGGCATGCATCAACACAAATGTGAGGATGCCCACTAAGATGAAAGCTCGAATTACGACACAAACAGATGCCCGCTAGATACAGGCTCCAATTATGACACAATTAAATACGTGTTGTACTTGTTATGGGTTTAATCAGGCGGAGATTTAAACAAACTAGTGTTGTAACAAAGATCCTTCGCGGAAGGCGGTAACTGTTGGAATTCTGTGGTGTTGGCCATTCTGGTAACTTGCTTAGAGATTACTTTCGAATCCATGCTTCAATGTGCTTGCTTTGTCCTTGCTTAAATCCCCAAATGATTATTGTTGTTTCTGCTGCTGCTTGTTGCTGCTGGCATACTAATATACTGAGTCCCCAATTTCCGGCGACTCATTACATTAATATACCGAATGGTGTTGCTTTGAGACGCGATTAACGCGTGCCAAGAGGCGAAGAGGACATTTAGTCCAGCTGAAAAAGGAAGGTTATTAGTAATCAGTTCATGGCGGATTTTGTATGGATTACTCACCTTCTTGAAGCCAATGTCGTTGGCGTACTCCCTGAAGCACTGACGGCAGATGTTCAGGCCGTACTTGCGGATCAGACCGTGGCGGTTAGAGCAGGCACGGCTAAAATAAGATGGTATATCATAGTTACATCGGTTTCATACAAGAAACTCCATAGCATGGCACAGTTTTCATTAAAGCAAAGCTGTCGCTGCACTCGGCTGGACCAAATCCATTCGGAAATGGGTCCTTTTGCCTCGGGCAGCTCTTACTTTGGCCACCCTTAATTAAGGAAACTGTTCTAGATGTTTAAACACGTATTTCCGTACTCAACCGGGGGCAAAAGCCATTGGAACATTAAACAATTGACAATACAAGCAATAAGAATTGGTAGACGCCATGCGTTAAAAAAAAAAGCGGGTCGGGAATAACCTCACTTTCTACAAACAAGCAAAAATCGTGCAAAATACGGGTTTACGGGGCAAGCATTTAAACAAATCGTACACCAAACGGTGCGCCATGCAACGGGCTACACAATTCTTACCAGCATCGGGAGCCTTGGCCATATTTGCGGGGATGCGAGTACCAGAGAGTAGCGAAACCCATGTTGGCGTTTTCCACGAGAAATTCGAAAAGAAAAGGAACTAGCGATGGCACACGGACCTGGGGGTGACAATATCGATATTTTCGGCGATGATCGAGGCGATTATCGAACGTATAGCACCACTGGTTGAGGCTCTACATGGCAACGCTGTTTTAGAGGCCCTCTTTCTAAGTGGCCATTGTGGCAGCTTTGCTCTTTGGCCGGTTTATTTAAATTCGAATTTGATTTTTACATATAGGAATCCGAAAAGATCGGCTGAGTTGGATTGTTCTTGACAACCACCACCCTAGCATTTGCCTCAGGGTGCAACATGGGCGCCTGACGCTCCTGCATTGGCTCGCCCACCTGTTGCGGATCGAAAATGGTCATCATTTCCATATCCTGGACTGGCTCCTCGAAGACGATTATATGCTGCCCGGAACCATCCTCCTCCATGGGAACAGCTTGCATGTAGTGCGACATAAAGAAACTGTTGTTGACCTCGTCAATTGGCACACACATCATTTGCTCCTGTTGCTCCGGCATAATGGAATACTGCATCTCTGTGTCGCCAGGCTCTGTCGATATGAATCCCGAGCCGGATGGCATATCCGAGGAGTTGGCACCATCCATATCCAGCTGTTCGGGATTATGATTTTGTGCCTTCTGAGCAGCGGCCGACTCTAGTTGGAACTTCTGCATTTGCATCATGAGACGCGAGTTAGCATCCAGGTGGGAGTGTCGAGCTCGGATGTGCTTGTCACGGTCACCGCGCTGGCGGAAGGTCTTGGTGCAGAAGAGGCAGCTGTACGGCTTCTCTCCGGTGTGGATGCGTTGGTGGTTTTTGAGAGCATCTGCGCGGTAGAAACGCTTGCCGCACTCCTCGCACTCATAGCGCCGCTCGCCTCGATGGATTAGTCGGTGCTGATAGAACACAGATCCGGTGAGAAAGCGCTTTCCACACACCAGACAAAGATATGGACGTTCGCCGGTGTGGCACTTGCGAATGTGGTCGTTCAGGTCTGGGCGAATGGTAAACTTCCGATCACAGTTTTCCTCCTGGCAAACGAAGGGCTTCACACCTGGTAAGGAGCATTTACAATCTTATCCTCATATATATTGTATTGCTTACCCTGGTGAAAGCGTAGATGCTGCCACAGATGGCTGGACTGTGTGTACGACTTGCCGCAGATGTCGCACAGATACTGACGCATTCGGCCGGCGCCGGTGTTGCGCGTCTCCTTCTCGCGCTTCTTTTTATTAAGATGCTTCTCCTCATTGTGCGCCAGAATCTCGTGGGCAAACTCGAAGTTGACGTCGCAAAACTCACAGGGCAGCAGCAGCTTCTTGCCATTCTGGCTGAGACGAGGGAAGTAGTGGTAGGAGGTATACCTAGTACAGAGGATAATCGCATCGAATCCTTCATACTTTACTAGCTAACTATCAGCTTACCGATGCTCCTGGAGCAGGTCCGTGTTGGCGAACTTGAGCTCGCACACATTGCACACAAAGTAGCGACTGAGCGTGACATTTAGCGACCTGATTGCCTCGCGCATGAAGACACAGTCCGTCTGGAAGTGGATGCTGGCTTCCTTGGCCGTGTTCATCCGAATGTCGCAGGCGGTACATTCAAAGCGCCGTTCCGCCACATGGGAGGCCGAATGGACAAGTAGCTCGGCTATGTCCGCGAAAATGTACTCGCAGAACTCGCACTGCAAAACGCTTCCTAAGATCAGGCTGGTGAACATCTCCTTCTCCGGTCGGTTGGTGTTGAGTTGGCTCGCTGCAAAAGTGACTTCGCTGGCCATCAGCATCTCGCCTTCCAACAGCAGCGAATTGAAATCTGCTTTATCAGAGGGTATTTGGGTCTTTGAAGTTTTGCGGATCGTTGGATCTTCCGAATCGTGAATAAAGCCGTGCCTAAAGGCCACCTGCGGATCATAGAAAATGCGGCCACAAGCATTGCACTTCACAACCACATGGAGTCCGGCAGCCGGAATAGTATGGGTTTGCTCGCTGGTCTGCGAAGGGATCAAGTCCAGGGCGTGCTTCTCCATGTGTCGCACCAACCCAGAGGCGTGGACGAACTTGCGGTCGCACATGGTGCACTCGTTGGGTCCCTTCGCTGTATTCTTGCTGCGCGAGCTTTCGATGCCTGTGACCAGATCGTACTTCATCTCATCTTTAATGTAGCGGCGCAGACGCACTTGATTCTCGAGGATCACCCGCTCGCTACCCGGTTTGCTTGGCGGAGCCGGAGGAGCAGATACAGTCGGAACAAGAAGGGGCTTCTCCTGTTGTGTCGCCGCCACCTCGACCGCCTTCCCTTCACAGGAATGGTTTGGGAAGGCCGAAGCATCGACATGGACCAAACATTGTGGACACTTCATACGGCTGCTAGAGGCCGAGGAATGGAAACGAGATCCTAAATAATGTACAGAATACTATAAAACTTATCCATTAAAGTGGATCTATTCGAATACCATGGAACACCGATTGCTCAGTGGTCATCTTGCTGCTGTTGACCCCGGCCAAAAAGTCGCGAATCTTCATTTGCTCCGCCTGGGGATCAAAGCCTTTCTTGCCGTCGGCCTCCTGCAGGATTTGCTTGAAAGCTGGATCCGCCAGTGTCCGCTCCACTACCACATCCGTTGGCATTGGTATGGTGCTCGCTGGCGCCACGGCGAAGAATCTGGACAACTCCTCATGGCTGACAATCCGCTCCAACCCGCCAGTACTCTCATTGGTGACCAGCACTGTGGCTCCGGGTTGCAGGTCGTCCGGCGTCAACTGCGAGTCCATCTCGACTTCGATCTCTGCCAGCGTATACTCACCCGAAACGTTGACCTTCATGGCTTGTTGGTTATTCCGATCGCGTGGCTCTTTCAGAAAATTGGTTTTTGCTAGCCCGTTTAAACTCTCAAAAACGATTCAAAAGACTACAAAATTGAAATGTTCCTATCCCAGGAAAATTTTTTCGGAAAATTTTACGAAACGTTTGGACTGGTGATGAGTAGAGAAATGGCAGTTGCTTTCTCCGTCGGTGGAAAGAAAGTTGGCTCAACTGACAGTAAACTCCATGCCAACGGACAACTCTGTAGGGTTCCTAACAAATCTGGAAATATTCAAATGTTCTCTAACGCAATCCTATAAAGTTGTTATAAGTTCATGACTTAAAAGACCTAAGATCAAAGCTTAAAAACTGAATATTACAAATGTATCGTAAGCTGAATATAAATGCTTTAAATTTCAATTTCCAAAACTAAATGAGTTGTAAGTATATATCAATAAAGTAAAGCCTAGAGTGGGTAAACATTTGAGTGGGGTTTGGAAGGCTATTGGTCTTTAATTTTGAAGAACTGCGGTTTTAAGTACCTTCCATACATAAACGTTTAAACACAGAATAATTTATGTGCTAGTTTCTTTTCTATCATAGAAAGCGATACGAACGATTTATAAAGTCGTTTCCGCTTTCAGCGCACATTAGTCATTGGTAATTTTTTTAATTTTGTACTTACCCAACATGCAGACTTCTGACAGCCAACGCGCATATCATAGACCACCTTCGAAATATTGTTAACGCCATTTGTTTATGTTTCCCCAGGGCTCAGGCTGTCGGAGTCGGCGTAGTTGGCCCAGGTGATTACTGGCCGCCAGTTATCTGCATTCAGTGCTTTTGTTTCAGATAAGACGTTTCGCGAAATGAGTAAACGCAGTGCCTAACAGGGCATACCGCCGCCGTTAATCAGTCCCACAAGGTTCCCTGTGCCGTTCAAACACCATCCCAAGCGATCGCAACCCATCCGAGCCGATCCGGTTCAACATTTGCAGAATCCCTGCACACAGCTCTTCCAGGTGCCCACGGTAATTGATCCATGCTCATCGCCACTGCCTGCTGCCGTTCTACACCACTATTGCACCAACTCATTACAACGGGCTTTCAATTATTATTAGCCTGTTAGACTGATAAATGGGACGTCGATGAGTCACCTCCGTGAAGGCCCAACCGCGATCCGAATCCAAAATTGATAAAAGCCCAAGTTGCGCTAGCAGTTCTTATCGGCAAATTGGCTACTAGATAATGCCGCAGGGCACCGTGGACGCACGTCAGCTACGGGGAGAGATCTAAGACAAAGCCAGTGGGCGGTACCTCCTTTGCAGCCGTACTAACGCAGCTACCAACTACGTATCCGTTTTTCCAGTTCGATGGAGGATTACACATACACCTACATCTCCGAGCCCGTGGAGTTCCGCCAGCTGGAGGGCAGGGCAATTGACTTCCGCAAGACATTTGATCTGCGGGGCCAGGGTACCGATGAAATGCTCCAGTTGTACCTGCGCAAGGCCAACTTATCCGATGATCTCGACCGTCTGCCGGCAATAATGCGACGCGCCTATGTCTATGACATAATAAGGAGCGACAAGGAACCCGGTTACTGGGTGGTAATGTTCCGCAGCATCCCATCTTGCCAGCTTCATCAGCCGATAAAGTCCTAGATGTTGTTTACAGTTGTCCTGAACGCAGCCGTTTCTTTTCCTTTCAGCCACCTTCTATGCAAGTGAGCAGCGACGTCTTCGCACATCCCCCGCCTGCTGTTCGTCCACCTCCTCACTACGCCGACAACGTGAGCATAAACGCCAGTCTAGACGGCATGAAGAGCTCCTCCTCCTCGAGCAGCCTGGACAGGTATGTGGGCGCTCCCCCCTCAGTGGCCTTCGCGGGTCCAAGCTTCGCCAGCAGCGTTTTGGTCAGCAGCAAGGGCTCCAAGTACGAGATCAGCGGACCCGTCAACTTCCAGCACGTTTCCGGCGATGTGACGCGAGATCGCACACGAAACGCCTTCGACCTAAATGCCAATTCCAACGACAATGTGCTGAGGAAGTACATGATGGAGCGTGGCATTACCGAGGCGGACATCAGCAGCATGCGACGCCAAGAAGTGATAAAGAAGATTATTCACTCCAATTTTACTTGGATGGTAGGTTTTGAAGTTAACCGGAATCTGTTAATATAACGTTTACTTTTTAAGCCACCAAAAAGTGAAACTCAGGCTCAGCCAAAAGTTCATGATCAGGCCAGGCCGCTGCTCTATGCCACCATTTCCACCAATAACCAGATTACTCCTCCGCCGTCTCCACCGCCACATCCAAAAGCCACTGTTTCGAGGCCAACGGAGGCACCAAACTTTTCCAACTACGCCTCGCTTACATCGCGGTTTGTGGATATCGCTGATATGGACTTACCTGCTCCTCCAACTCCTGTTAGACCGGCAGAGGTCGGAACTGTGATACCCGTCCAAGTGCAGCCTCAGCAGAGTATTAAACCTAGGGTTCCGCCACCTCCGTCGGCGGTAATGGCGAAGAACACACATGGATATCCAGCGGCCATTGACATTCGTCAAGTGAGACCCTCTGTAGCGCCAAAGGTTGCCAGTGAAACATATGCCACCATATCACCGCATCGGAAAGTGGGGTCAATGCGCGTCCCACCGCCACCGCCTCCAAAGCCAACTATATTGCCCAATACAAGCTCGACGATTTCCAACGGATCGCCGTATGCTGTGTCCCTAGTGCAGTATGCTCCTGTTGCCAAGCCGGCGCCGCCACCTCCCCCAGCCAAGCCGACTTCTAGATCTTCGGCTGTCTATATGACACCACTGCCAGCGCAGAAATCAAAGATTACTGGCACCGGAGCGCCAGCTCCACCACCGCCGCCACAAGCGGCAGTCGTTCCGCAACCACCGCCTCAAGCGGCACCCGCAAGTGTTTCACCACCACCGCCTCAAGCGGCACCCGCAGGTGTGCCACCACCACCGCCTCCAATGCCCGTTTTAGCTACGGGCGCTCCACCTCCACCGCCACCTCCACCAGGTGGCATAGCCGGCGTTCCACCACCGCCTCCGATGCAAAAATCACAGCCCAAGGCTGTTCCAGCCGCCTCCTCAGGCGGAGACTCGAGGGATGCGTTCTTGGAGAGCATTCGACAGGGAGTTACACTGAAGGTATTACAAATAGCCAACCATTCAAATTGGAAATCTTATCCTACTCCGATTCTTGCAGAAAGTGGATCAGAAGGCGGCCACTATAAGTGGCATCAAGCCGCGTCCAGAACGTAAGCCGGTGACCACTGACTTCCTCAGTGAGCTGAAGCTGGGAATAACACTAAGACGGGTCAAGAATCCGGCAGATAATCCGTATTCCGAGGAATCGGAATCGCAAGCGTAACGAACTGGCGGTTTAACTTTTAACTGTGCCGCACTATACAACACTGAACCAAGCGGCAGGGCTACCAGACTGAGTAAAACCGCCCTAATTTTAAGTTTCGCAAATACATTTATAATTTTAATATTAATCACCATGACAAATGACCATTAGCGTTTGTAAATAATATTGTTATCGCCAGATATGACAGAACTTATCATTATGCCTGACAGTAATCTATATAAAATTTTTGTATTTTATTTTGCCAAATACAGTGCTTATCACAAGCAGTGAACAATAACCAAAATAAAATTATCTACAGCGAAACAAAAGACCATAATATTTTTACAACACTAAGGCGTAGCTTAATAAAAATACTAAACATTTTAAATATCTTGTTGGCTACTGAAAAAGCTTCACATAAGTGAGAGTTCATTATTTTGAAAGAGCACTGTATATTTATTGTTACGGGTGAGGTGAGAACGCGAGCAATCGCTGGATTCACTTGTGAACTGAAACTTTGATAGATAAGTTGCGGCTGGATCACAGGTGAGACTGCACTTTTGCCTACCGACGACTGGACTAAACGCATTTGAATCGTTGCGAATTAAAGAATCAGTCGAATTATGCAACGCATTGCTATTATTGGAGGAACCGGCATGACCGGCGAGTGTGCCGTGGATCACGCCCTGCAGAAGGGTAAGTGACACCACAAGACCCGGAAGTCGCCAGTTAAACCGTATTCATCCTTTCAGGTCTGTCGGTTAAACTGCTCTATCGCAGCGAAAAGACAGTTCCAGAAAGATTCAAGTCGAAAGTTGAACTGGTTAAGGGAGATGTGACCAACTATGAGGATGTGCAGCGCGTCATCGAGGGCGTGGAGGCGGTGGCCGTCATCCTGGGCACCCGCAACAAGCTGGAGGCCACCACGGAACTATCCCGCGGCACCGAGAACCTCATCAAGGCCATGAAAGAGGCTAAGCTGACCAAATTCTCAATTGTCATGTCCTCGTTTCTGCTGCGTCCGCTCAACGAGGTGCCCGCTGTGTTCCATCGCCTGAACGAAGAACACCAGCGCATGCTGGACCTGACCAAGGCCTGCGACCTGGAATGGATTGCCATTCTGCCGCCGCACATCGCCGATGAGCCGGCCACCGCCTATACCGTCGTGCACGATGAGGCCCCCGGTCGTCTGGTGTCCAAATACGACCTCGGAAAGTTTATTATCGACAGCCTGGAGCAGCCGGAGCACTACCGCAAGGTTTGCGGCATTAGCAAAAGCCCCAAAAGTGCCTAGAACCATCTAACATCCATGGAATTGTGACCAATTGCAGCTGATCATTGAAGACGTACAAAATTAATTTTTGATATTCCTGTCGTAGTCCTCTATAATTTCTATAACTCGCCAAACGTGTACATACACGCATCCGTATGTACTTGAGCGCACAATAAACTTTCCATTTTAGAAGATCCGCATTTAATTGCAATTACGTGCGGAATCGTTTTGGCGCGACCAATCGGAATGTCGCCACATTAGCACCTGTCGCACCAAATGCCGGGCAGGTATTTAAAAAATGTGTAACCATAAGATATCACCGTACCCCGGGCAAGCCAGCAGAGATCAACAGCTTCCGCTGTCCGATAGGCGAGAGGCGTCACTCCCAAGTCATAGTCAACGGACGCAGAGAGAGATGTTTGGCAGCGGAGAGAGATCTCTGTGTGCCTTACATCACTGCGGGTTATTTCTGTAACAAATCATTACGTTTGCTGGGCGGGCATTACCCATTTGGGCACCGTGCCTCCGTCAAATTTGGCTGCGCAAAAATAACATCAATTTATAGACGTCGTCGCCGTGAACTTGAACTTGTCATGTGCGGCCAAATGGATGCAGTGCATCGCTCATGCTGCCAGACAGGCGTTTCCGTCATCGCCACTTCCGCCCAGGAACAAGAGATGGTAACTTAAATTGCTACACGTTTTATTGGAAGTTATTGCCCTTCGTTGAGTGCTTAATGCTAAGGCTCGATATGTCTATTTGCTATGTTTCGTTGGAAGATACTTGAGCTTCTTATTATCATAATCATATGCATAATCATCATTGCAGGCAGGTAGATTTTCCGTCTAGGAGCAATTATGCACACACTTGAGCAAAACTATAACAAATTATAATTGCTAAGCAGTTAGGATTAGGTTAACATCAGCCTTATAGATGTACCGAACAGCCCGGGTCACTTTTGTCATACAAAAAGAACCAAAAAGTTTAAAAAATACATGCGGAAAGTAATATTTAAAAATCAACACAAGCGCTTGGTGAATGGTTTGCTTATCGGTGTAATGGAATCAAAAGCATTAGCTGCTTTGCAATTTGCCAGAGCAACGATGCAATCACACATGCAATTGGCAGACTGTGTGGCATCCACAGGTTATGGCTCGGAGCAGCTGCTGGGCAGGTAAAACCCGTAAAGAATTTCAATCGTTTGCCAATTTGACTAGTTCACTGCCACTCTCTGATCAGCCTGGGCACGGCCCAAATTAGCCAAACCAACTACTACTGGCGTTGACGTCTATAAGACCTTCTTCATGTATTTCTTTTTGGCATTTTGCAAGCTGGGCAGCTCGCAGTGACGCGGCCCATACATTGTAATGGGTGCGCAGTACTCGTAGCCGATGCGCTCGTAGAATCCATCCTGGTCGATGGTGGACAGATAGATGGTCTTGAGGTCTAGCACCACGCGGCAATAGTCCTCGGCGAACTTCATGATCAGTTTGCCAAATCCCTGACCGCGGTGCCGCTTGTCCACCACCACGGACTCCACAAAGCAGGCCTTTTTCTTGGAGTTAATCGGGCTGAGCTTGAGGTGAGCGATCACGCGGCACATGCCCTCGGTGGTCAGCACCAGGCTGCAGGGCAGGCTGTCACAGGAGGCTTCCAGGGAGCGCATGCGCGCCGTTTCTGATCGCGGCCACTCGGCGTTGATCAGGGCGCAGGTGTCCTTCATGAGCTCTGGGTAGTTGTGAATGGGTACCACATTGAAAGGACTGCCGCTGACATTAAATGGAGGAAGCCCCTGTAAATGGTAGATGGTTAGTATGTTTGATTATTGGGCTTTGTTTTAGAGGCTGTAAGAGATTGAGTTTGCTGTTCGATTACTTCATAGTACGGCTCCGGCTTTATGTAGCGCATATTGCTGAAAGGGACTGTGCCTCGGATCTGGAAGGGATCCGCCTATAAAGTGTGTGACAATCTAGAAGAGAACAGAATTGAGTCGTTTCGGAACGGAGTTCACTCTGACCAGTGTTGGGGCAATAATTCTTCCAAACTTTATTTCCCTTAACCATTTATCTATATATTAAATACTTTTTATATTTACATGATGCACCTATTATCAGCATACGACAAAATTGGTTGAATTTAAAATATATTTTAACTGGAATTTTGCATGATTCCGGTACTATATATTTTTGAAACTAACTTGTACCTAAACTAGGTACAAAACGATCGTGGCCTTCCCAACACTGATCCTGGCACACAAAACACTTAGGCGGGTATTTACACGGGACTTGCAATAAACACATCTCAGGTGGAATAAACAAAGTTTGGCAGCCATGGAAACAGCACAGACACACACGCACGATCGTATAGTTGAAAATCAAGGTGAGGCGTAAAAAAAGAACATTTTCGTACACACATATCTGCGCCTGGCCGAGAATCGTACGACCTTGACTGGCGCTTATATATATGCAATGCTCAGAACTATATACACGGATGAGTGGGTGGTAGTGGCGCTGTGCGGGTGAATCAATGTACATGGGTTCTGGAGTTGCTATTGATTTGCTAGTTCGTGAGATAACTAATGGGTGGTTACCATTGCGAGAGCTGTGCGCTGCTGTCCGTCTGGATCCCGTGCGCCACGACGAAGTGAACAGAACGAACTGATATGATTCCCAATTATGAGATTGAGTCCCAAAGAAATGGGCCAAGTTTCGTGCGAGAGCACAAATTCCGCTTTAGAAACTGACTCTCTTGTGTGTATGTGTGGGGCTGCTACGATTTTACTGCGCGCCCGGAAAATTGAATATCAGTTTGATTTAAAACGGAATTTGTTTATTTTTAAACTTTTTCGCAGACGCTGCCCCGCTGCTTCTTCTTATCTGCCCCAAACAAAGCGTTGCCACCAGGCGCAGCGCACACACTGTCCAACACGGGCGAACTGCGAGCAGTGTTGCGTAGTGCGAACAGTCGACCAAGCGAAAATAACAAACAAATCGTTTTTTTAGCGAGCGCAAGGCACATCACGAGTAGAAAACACAATAAGAGCTCGCCACAAAGGACAGTAAATCAGCAAAACACTTACAGTATTAATGTGGAGGTGGCAGAGCGGGAGCAGCGTGCACCACGGTCTGCTAAATTAATTATTACACAACAAATAAATCAAAAAACTACCAGCGACAGTTTCCAATTGGCAGCGTGCGGCTGAAAATAGCTTGTAAACAAAGCGATCGCTAGGAATAGGAATAGGAAAAAGAAGCTCTCTCAACGCCATTGACCCACAAATTAGTCGTGGTCATTGCCAAGCGAGAACACATTGTAGCCACTTCCCACCGCCACAGCCCAATAAGGCGCACGTGCATCCACATCCACAATGGCCAGCAGACAGATGACCAATGACCACCTGCGCCTCTCCTGGCACGACACCCAGATGATGGCCACCCTTAGTCCGCAGACCGTCATGGACTACTTCTGCCGCAAGTCGAATCCCTTTTATGATCACATGTGCAACAACGAGACTGTCCGGATGCAGCGCCTTGGTCCGGAGCACCTACAGTAGGTGTCCTGCCTTTTCTTTTGCATCAATTTAATCGCCTCCATCCTTTAGCAACATGATCGGCCTGGAATACATTCTGCTGCACGTGGCGGAGCCCATTCTTTATGTGATCCGCAAGCAACACCGACATAATCCCTCGGAGGCCACGCCGATAGCCGACTACTACATCATCGGAGGGACCGTCTACAAAGCGCCTGATCTTGCCAACGTCATCAATGCCCGCATAGTGAGTATCCCTTGTCGGATACCCGATTCATTTGGTTAATCGCTGTGTTTCCAGCTCAACACCGTGGTGAACCTGCAATCCGCCTTCGAGGAGGCTAGCAGCTATGCCCGATACCATCCCAACAAGGGTTACACGTGGGACTTCTCTTCCAACAAAGTTTGTACGTATATATATTCTCTTATATTAGAATCGTTTGCTAACCAACCAAATCATTTCTAGTGTCAGATAAGTCCAAGTCAGATAAGAAGGACGCCAACGCAGCAAAGGATGAGAATAGTGGTACTCTGTTCCAGAAGCAGCGTGTGGACATGCTGCTGGCAGAGCTTTTGCGTAAATTTCCCCCACCAATACCGCCCATGCTGCAGAATCTCCAGCAGCCCCCACCAGCTGGCGATGATCTGAACGCAGCTGGTAATGCCTCCGAAATGAACAATGCCACGGGACCTCTGGATATCAAAACCGAGGGTGTGGACATGAAACCACCGCCCGAAAAGAAGAGCAAGTGATTATGTAAACGTGCATTTAAACTGGGAGAGATTAAAGTACATTTAACTTAGACATATACTAGGCTACACACGAATCGTTTGATTTAATCCTGAGCACTCGGTGCGCCCTCTCCACCGGTCATCTTCTTTCCCTGGTTTTTTGCATGTACCGTCAGGCTGTGGTTTGTGAACTCCAGTATGCTCTTAAAGGACTGCTTGCATATGTGACAGGGCACAGACTTCGTGGGAGTGCGGTAGACGCCGGCATGCGCAACGCTCTTGGGAACTTTCTTGACGCTCGGTGGAGCCATGGACTGGGTTCCGTTTGAGGGAGCTGGGAATTGGAAGTAAGACTTTAAGTGCTTGTGAACAATATTTTAGCCGTTTAACAATTATTACCTAATTTTGGAATGACGCTCATGCGTTGCTGTGGCTTCTGGGGCATTGTCATTGCGTGGTTAATCCCACTGGCACCACCAATCTTTGGCAGCTGGGCCTTCTTCTCGTGGTTCAGCTCGGTGAACTGCAGCTTGCGCTTCTCGGACGGCGGTATCTTGTCGCAGTTCTGCATTAGATGGATGTGCAAAGCACGTTCCAGTGCGAAGTTCTTATCGCAGAACTTGCAGCGATTCTTTGATCCTCCCGCTGCAACCGGGTGGGTGTTCTGACGCTTTAGTAGCTTGGGTCCGTTGTCAACCTGGTCGTGCATTCGCATATGCATGTCGAGAAGTGCCATTACTCGAAAGGTTGTGCCGCAATGTTTGCAGTTAAATACTGCCTCCGAATTGCTTTTGATCGATAGCTTTGACGGCTTTGAGGTGGTCTTCTCGGGCGTACGCCCGCTGGTCACAGCAAGCGACTTTCTGTTGCTACCCTTTGTTAGCTTGGAAACGGGCAAGCAGCTGCGGCGCCCTACCGCCAGACCACCGCCGACACTCAGCTTGCGAGCTGGGCTGTTGAGTGTGGTCTTGACCACCACCGACATACGCTGCTTGAAGGAGTACGTGCGCGTCTCTGTAGTGGTGGTAGGCAGAAATGAGCGGCGAGGGCGCGGTAGGACCCCCGAATAAGCGGAGGTCATAGACTGTCTCTTCTTGCCCACATCTACTTTTAATTTGGAGGCCGATGGCTTCACAGAATCAGCGGAGATCTTCAGAGCTTTGGCAATCAGCTCGGAGACTTCGTTCACTACCTCCTTGACCTGGACCTCCTTTTCGCCCTCTTCCGGTGAGACCAGCATAGATACCCCTTCGTTTGATACTGTAAATATAGATGTTTATAGAAGGAACCATATCTAAAAAAGTATAAGCCCACCTTCGGTTATATTCTCTAACACTACATTTGCACTCAAGGGATAGACTTGGCTTGGAGCTGGGGTCTTGGGAGCCTCCTGCACGGATACATTGTCCATGGTAGCGTCGTCGGTTTGTAGGGTATTGGCCTTAACCGTATTGGCGGTCACGTTCACAGAACTTGACAAGGTCGAGTTATCGCCACCATTGTGATTATCCCCCTCCGGCTGGGAGTTCTCCTTGTCGTAAATGTGGGTTAGATCCATGCCCAAGATCTGCGGTGGCTGCGAGGCATTGTCCTTGGAGGGAGTGGAGCACAAGGCGTTGTGCCTGTTGAGAATGCTCTTGTCAAATGGGCGAAGTGGCGAATTCTGGTCTGGTTCGCCGATAGTCAACTGCTGTAGATCCTTCAGGACAGTGCGCCTGAGGTCCTTGTCATCTGTGTGCACCTCCACCTTGCTGGTGTGCACCTCTAGGAACTGACTGCTCTGGGTGACCAGGGCCGACTGCCACTTTGCATTGGACAAAGTGTCCTCCGCGTCAAAGGATAAATACATTGAGACGCTTTCATCGTTGGTCGCCATCGATGAGCAACGAGAATCGATCTGCTGGAATTTAAACTATTGTTTTAGAAATGAAAACGGGAAAATGTTTGGAAGTCTATTCCCGGGATATGGAAGCAACACCATCTGAAACCACCATAAACTTGCCTTGCCCGCCAGCGATCTGCGCGAATCGTCCATGACTAAATATATGCTATGCCCAATTGGCCACGAGCGAATTCGAAATTAATAAACACGGGTAATTAATGGAAAATTCGAGCAGCTGAAGACTGACGCTGTACCGAAAAAACAAAGCGTTAATATTTCAAACACACTTTTCAACACTGCGCGCGCAATTAAGATCAGAGCGGCGTCGTAAAGAATGCGTGGCCTGGAAGTATTGAAAAAACATTTAACTATTCACTGCATAAAAATCGACCTTAACACGTAGACAACTCTAGTAAAATAAAAAATATATTTTCTGTACAATACGAGTTGAGAGGTTACAGTGACTAGATTGGAAATATTTCTATAAAAGTAAAATAATTTTGATTTTTCACTGACTCCAGCTAGGGTTTGTGGCATAGATAAAAATCTCCGGTTACACTAAAATAATAGTTTCTACATGGTAATCTGACTTTTTAAATCAAATTTGATAGAAAAATTTAAGCCGAATACTATTTCGCAGTTCCAAATTACATCGTTGTAATTTGCTAATAAATAGTTTGCACTAAACCTAAATGCAATATTAGATAGTGTGAACACACCCAAACATCGCCTATTGAAAACGGCATCGATGTTGACATCGATTTTTTTGCAGCTCTAGTATACAAATTGGCGAATTGTTGTGTGGTGTGAAAATTCATACTTTCGCAAATAAATTATTGAAACTTGTTAATAAGTTCCTACGTATATAGCAAAAACGAGCTTAGCCCAGCCCCAATTACATATCCATTGAAGTCACACACCGAACCAGCACAAAGGGTAGTTTTTCATCTCGCGAGTGTGAGTCACTGGCCAGATTTCCCCACCCAAAAACAACAAGACAGTCGTCTTGCCTCGCAACCACTTGCTAAGCATTCAAGTGATCTCACCAAAGCTCCCAAGCACCCAATCACCAAATAGATAGTCACGAAATGGCCGCCGTAGAGAATGCTGAGCCGCGCACGGAGCTCCAGGAGCTGCAGCTTAAGTCCGGACAGGTGGCCGATGAATCCCTGGAGAGCACGCGTCGGATGCTCGCCCTCATGGACGAGAGCAAGGAAGCCGGAATCCGCACGCTGGTGGCCTTGGATGACCAGGGCGAGCAGCTGGACCGAATTGAGGAGGGCATGGACCGGATCAACGCGGACATGAGGGAGGCGGAGAAGAACTTGAGTGGCATGGAGAAGTGCTGCGGCATCTGTGTGCTGCCCTGGAAAAAGGTGAACATCAAGGACGACGGCGAGAGCGCCTGGAAGGCCAATGACGATGGCAAAATCGTGGCCAGCCAGCCGCAAAGGGTCATCGATGAGCGGGAACGCGGCGGAATGGGTGCTCCGCCGCAATCCGGCTATGTGGCCAGGATCACGAACGATGCACGCGAGGACGAGATGGACGAGAATCTGGGACAGGTGAACTCCATGCTGGGCAATTTGCGCAACATGGCCCTAGACATGGGCTCCGAGCTGGAGAACCAAAACAAGCAGGTGGACCGCATCAATGCCAAGGGTGATGCCAACAACATACGCATGGATGGCGTCAACAAGCGCGCGAACAATCTGCTCAAGAGTTAAATATGCACAACGGCCACGTCCCGAATCAATAGCGAAACACGATAGTCGGACACCTCCATTTCAATCTTGCTAGGGAAAGGAACCAATGTTGTGGGCACAAAACGTAGCTGGTGGTATTGCGTTATTTATACCATATATTATACACATACAAGTAGTGGCAACTGCTCCTGGCAAGCGCAAGCGTAACAAACCCATCTATACTTACAAGAACTTCGAGCCGCCGAGCCGGATGAACTACCTACTACTTTCTACAACTATATATATATGTATATATATATATATATATATGCGAACCAACATACTAACTACTTACTATTACTACACTCGTGTACAAATGGCAACCGAAAGGCGCCGGAAACAATTTTATTATGAGATTTACCGTATGATGTACTCTGTTTTTGGTACAAACTTTTTGAGCATTTTACCAAACTTTGTGAAATCAAACCAAGTAACTGCTGCTGAGATGGATAAATGTGAATTGATGTATTTACAATTCGTAGAACCACCGCATCCCGCACGGGCACAGACAAAGACGGGTGTTATTATATCGTAGCCAATTTTATGTTCTCCATTGTTAACCCTTTTTAAGTAGGCCATGTATATGGGTATTTCGTAGGCCCAGCAGTCCAAGCACCGATTCTATTGAATTACTCTAGATTTGCACTCGAACCTCTTGCTTCGTACGTATGAATACTTTATCGCCAGTGAATGTAACCGATCGAGTTTCGTAGCTCTAGCTTAAGTACATATATGAAATTGTTGGTTGCAATAATCGCAAATATTTAAGAAACTACCTGTTTGTGCGCAAGATATTTCTCGTTAATTATTAAATGTACCATGGAACGAGTATAGCCAATTGATTAGATAACTTATTTATCGCTACATTTGCCACTTTAGCTTACATTCTTAGCTCTTAATTGCATGTAATTATAAATAAATTAATTCACCACCAAAACGTGTTAATGGATTTATTGCACTGTACAAAAATTTAGATTAACTGAGAATTTTATGGCACTCGAAAGTAGTTGCTGGTTGCTATGTAGCCGCTGAAGTCCTCATCGCAATCGTCGGACTTAGCGAAATCGATTTCCGGCGCTGCCTCGACGGGAATGTACACAATGCTGCCGCGGGTCACCAAGATCTCCTTATCTCCCTGCTGCGTTTTCAGTTTCAGAATGCGGGATCCCTTCAGGACTATCAGTATGGAACCAAAGGCTTGTATCTCTAGCGTGTACGACTCCACCGTGTGTTCGATGTTCACAGTTATCACGGCGAAATCAGATACTGGTGGAATATAGACCTGGACCTGCCCATCTATGCGGTACGGTACGAATTCCTTGCGATCCTTGTACGAACTTTCGAAGATCACCGATTCCAGCAGCTGGTCCACATCCTTGTACTTGGGCGTGAGTCCAGCCCGTATTACATTGTCCGAGCAGGCCATGCACTCCACGCAGTCGCCGTCCAGGTAGGCGTGAATCTCGTTTGCGCCCAAATAGATCGCCTGACCAGGCTGCAGGCGGATTAGATTGAGGAAAAACAGGGACAGTACGCCCACATCGCCGGGGAAGTCGTTGTTGACCTTGGTGAACACATCCAGCAGATCGTTGGATTTCAGTTCTATTTCAAGGGTCTGGGTTAGTTTATATTCCTAAGTGTGCACAGATTGACTCACCGGTTTGATAATCCTTGGCTATCTCACTGATGCACTTGGCTATTACCAACTCCTCGGTCTTCATCAGCTTCTCGTAGCACAACTTAACGCTTTCCGCGTCGGTCGAGTCGTGGAGTTGCTCCACAGCCTCCTTGCCAATGAGTTTACTTAGTGGCTGGAACTCATCTATGTAGTCCATGATGTCTTCAGCTGACATAAAGCCCACGAGGGCCAGAAACGGCGTGAGGGCAATGGCCAGTTCCGGCTTGTGATTGGGATCCTTGTAGATATCCGGGCGCTCCTTGTGTAGACGCTCCGCCTCGCACTTGTTCGGATGCACCTGGATGCTGAGCGCCTTGTTGATGCTTAGGACCTTGAACAGGTATGAAAGGTCTTTTTTCAGCACCCGGTCCAGAGTCTCGCCGGTTTCCTTGACCACGGACACGCCGCACACATGTGTGCCCATCCACATTTCCGCGTAGGTCTCCTCCTCGTTAAGCCGAAAATCCGGATCATTGGCCATGGCCAGCTGGGCCACCGCCGAGTTGATGCCCTTGCGGCCCCAGTCGTAGTTCTTCACCCATCCAGTCAGCTCCATTTCAGCGCACTGCACCCCTTCCAAAATTCGTCGTACTGTGCCTGAGGTCAACCTGAAGGTGATACGAAAACATATGATTGCTGGTGGTTGGATACGTGTGAGGGTTTTGTTGTGGCGAAGGGAGGATTAGTGTAACGTTATTTGTTATTGCTGGCTTATCGCACCTTTTTATATAGTAGATAACAAACACCTTCCCCTGCAGTTTTCTAATTTAGATTTGTTCGAATAAATTTGGTGTGTTTCCACCACTGCTACTTTAAATATATCGCGTTCACTCTAGAGATGGGGCTTTTGCGATATCACCAATGGCAAGTCTTTAATATGACATCACGTTTAATACTCTATAATTTAATTTAAAGGATTTCATTTTGAGCAGCAAAATATATGTCCCAGGTGACGTCATGAGTGATACTCTATTTGGCGATTTGTGTTTGGTATGGGAGCGGTTTGGGTGCGATAATAGCCAATCAAACGCGGTTTAGGGGCGATTTAAAGCGACTTGAACGCGGCTTAGGTGCGAATTTCGGCGACTTGAACGCGGTTTTGATGCGATTCGGGTGCGTTTTGGCCTTGGAATTTGCAAACCTATTTTTCTATAAAACATAGGCAGGGCATACAACTTTTATTGCCAATACTCGCTTTCATTCTTGTTTTTATTTTAAATGTTTACATATGTGCCGTTAACAAACTCTTATTTTAATTTAAAAACTGTTCAAACTATGATAAGTTTTGTCATTTTGATTTCAAACCCTCGCTGTCATCTATTTTGTCAATGACCTGTTTTAAGCAATCTTTGGTCGATGTCTTTTCCAAATCGCACATGCGTGTCAGATCCATCGTAGCAATCTGCTCGATCATTTCCTTGATCTTCTCCTGCTTTATAATGGACTTTACGGACTGCCGTAATCCAGCGCGTCCTTGGGTCTTGTGGGTCTCTGCGGAGTCGTTTTCGATTTGCTTGCCCTTGGCTCGGTAGTGCTGCTCGATAATTTGTCGAATCTTCATCTTGGTGGCTGCTCTCGACTTCTTGGTTGCCTGTCCCAACGCGAGGGTTCGCAGCTCCTGGAAGTTAATCTCCTTGAAGGGCGCTTCGATGGTCTCTGCCCCAGCTTGAGGTTCAACATCCGTTTCTAGTTCTAGTGACATCTCCTCCACAGTTGCCACGATGCCATCATCATCATCCGGTTCGACTTGTAGCCTGGATTTTAATTTCGGATCTCCTATCACTACTGAAACATCTTTAACAGAAGGTAATAGCGTTTCTTTTTCAACCGGGGATGCCTTAGTTTTTGCTTTTTTCTCTTTTGTGTTTGATACCTCTTTTGGAAGAGGCTTCTTCTTTTTAAGTATACAAATGCACGGCTTCGTTTTTATTCGCACCGGCAGCAGTGAATTGTATTGAATGCCGATGTTGTTGAAGCAGTCAACAAACTCCAGCGTATCGAAGTCGTTTTGGAGCGATGCCCATAGCTCGGTGTTTTGTTTGTTTTTCGCCTCCACCAAAAGATGTGTGTATGCATCCAAATCCGCTTGGGTGTAGTTCATTGCCTCGTCCTTGCTGTAAATCCATTCATTATTTATTTCCATAAAGCGCGACACGCCGCTCTGGGCGGCCAAGTTGGAAATGTGAACGGAGACATTTGAGGTGCCAGCTTCCAAGCGATGCAAGCGGGATAGAGCTGCTCCGCCCGGATAGTTAGTGCCCGAAATGACAAGTAAGAAGACCGTCATAAGCACATTTAACAGGAGATGGGCTCCACAGGCGAGCGCCAGGAAGCTATGCCACGTTGACTTGGCGCTATTCATCCAACTAAACGAGGAAACAAATCGTTAATAGAATTTCATCTTATACATTAAATAAGTCAAAAATTACATCCGTTGGCATGCGCAAGCCGCAGCAATGTTGAGAACGGGAAACACGTAGATGATGAAACGCAGCTCCTTGTGGGGCAGAATGGAGTACAACAGGACAAAGAGAAGAGCTGACAAGACCAATGGGCGAATACGTGGCTCCAGTGTGACGCCGATGGGTACAAGCACCAGTGATGCACCCATGGCACGAGGCAGGGCGGAGTAAAAGTACCATAGGAAGGGCGAAGTACCCCAGTTGGAGCTTTTATTGAGTATAGTGTTGTACCATAGCACCTCCCCTTCGGGCCAAAGGAGGCGGCGCCAAAAGAACGAGTCCACTAGCACTGTGGCTGCCAAAATGCATACGCCAGCCGGCAGAGCAATTTTGAGTAGCCTATTTATACCAAAATTTGTATTAAATAGTATGTAATGATTGGTAATCTCACCCGTCAATGGAGACTTTTCGCCGTAGGAGGCTCACCACCAGCAAAATACCCAAAAATAACGCCAACTCGGATCGAAAGACGAGTATGGATATGCCAGAGCAGATGATGAATGGCTTGTGCTGATCGCGCAGCCAATAAGCAATGGCAAAGAGCACTGCAACGATAAGTAAAATATAATTGGGTACCTATCAGGCACCGTCTTCTCGACTTACCCATCGGCAGTGCAAAGATATTGGGCAGCGGCCGAGTCATGTAGAACATGAAGTGGAACTGCGTAATAGTGATGGCTGTGAACCACAGACGCACCTCGACTCCGTAAATCTTTGTCACCGCCTGCCGTAGGTTGTTCCAGGCCACAGAGATGGCTCCAGCCAGGACGAGACGCACTAAGGGGTACACAATGAATTAGCATACCGAAATGGGCAGTTGAAATGCTGATTTTACCTACATATTGGGCCCAGAACTTGTTGATGCTGAGGGTCTCGAAGAGAAGAACGAACGGGGCAGAGATCATGGACACCACCAGCGGGCCGATGAAGGTGCGTGGAACCACGCCCGGATAATCATGGTGATCATACTAAAATGCAGAAAGTTGTTAGTGATCTGACAAGAGGTTGGGGAAACTTGTGTCTTCCACCTGCGTAAAGTTGTTTCGCAGATATAGAATATCGTGCATGGCCTGCAGATTGAAGCTCTCCTCTACTTTCGTAAAGGGTGTGTAGACCAGATGGGCCGCCGCCGTCAGAAAGATTAGGATGTCCATGGTGTAGGCGGCTGGTCGGCCTTTGGGTCTGACTCGTGTGCAAAGTGTGCTGGACAGGAATCGGGGCGTTACATAATGGCCATAATTGACATAATTTGACACCGATATCAATTTATTCTTGTCCGTTGGAAAATCTATAAATTTCTGGCTGATGGAATCTG